AATGTATACATTTAATTTAAGCATTTACTAATTTACACAACTCCAAATGGTGTAAATATTAAAGAAGAATTTGAACAAATATTTGTGGAGAATTCCAACAATCTGAAATTACTTGAGATTGAGATAACTGATATAAGTATAAACAATAACACTGAAAATTTTGGTTATGGTGATAACTATCTAAATTTCCGAAGATCTACAAATTTTAATAATGTTGGGATTTATAGAGGTAATTAAAAGACTTAATTTAAAATATTTTTAAAAATTATTAAACATTTTTTATATTATTATTTTTACATGTTATATATTAGTATCATTTTTAATTGCAATTATTGAAAATGACTTTGGCTCAAAATAGCTTATTATTTCAATAAATACTATTTGCCTTATAAGTAGGGTTGGAACTACCCGTATTTCCTAAAATAGGACTCTCCCTGAATTAGAACTTCCTTTTTAAATAATACTCCCCAATGTGTTAAGTTTGAAAATACTCTCGGGAGTACTATTTTAGGAAATACATTATATGATTTACATATTTTATCCTGGCATAGTTATTATAAGTTTTAGTAAAATATATTGGTGTAGAAATTTTTAAAATTCCTAGTATTATTTAGAACTAAATAATATGTATTTTTAATAACTTATTATTAAAGAAATATTTATGAACACAAAAATAAAAGATAAAGAGGGTGGGATTTTAAATTGGCTGTTAAAATATAAATATGATCTTGGAATAGCCGAATTTAGCGAACAAATAGGGGCTTTTAATGTTTTCAAAAGTCTCGGAATAAACAAAACAATTAATCTTTTCCCTTCACATCTATACCCATACGATTTGCATCTAGTTCATCATTACAATAGTCCAGGTAAGAAAACAGTTTTAAATTTTATTTGACAGCAAATAATGTTTTCTATTAAAATAGTAGGACGATATAAATTAGAGCACGGACATAATTCGTCGTACGAGAAGCAAGATCGATATCTCGATCAAAAATATTTAATTTATCATTAAAATTTTTGATTGATATAGTTTATGGGTAATATGGAGATAATATGGAAATAGAGTTAATTAGAAATAATAACGGATATATCAAGAATAAGATTAATTACATAGATCTGAAAAACCGACAATATAGAGCCACACCATAGCTGGTGAAATTTTTAACATATCCGACTTGCACTTAACTGTAGACTCCAGTTTGATGCCTGACGGATGTATGAATCACACAGATGTATAAATAGTTTTTGTTGTTGGTTTTATTACACCGAAATTTGAAACATATACAGAATAATTTTTTAACATTTTACAAAAATAAAAATATTACTATCAGGATTTGCACTACAAATTAGTGGATTTGCTAATGTAAATGATTATGTATCTAAATACAATCAGTTGATAGAAGATGGTGAATTCCAGAATAGAGCACCGCCAACACTTCCTGATGAACTTTTTAATAATATTCAAATTCATCTAGCAAATCAACATATTAGGGGAAGATTTGCTAATTATCCTGATCACAATAAAATTGATTATATTGGTGGAATTGTTATTGAAGATAAAGAAATATTGACTATGGATAAAGAACGATCCCGAGAGGTAAGATGTGCTGAATTTTATCGACGATTCCGAATCCTGTCAATGCATAATTATATCGGGAAATTTTGGATTAGGAAAGTTTTTAGGAAAGTTTTTCGCCAAAAATGGGTATAATTGAATTTTGCATAATTATCTCAATAGACCGAAAATTTTCAATCGTTATTAACGAAAATTAGTTATATTATCGTACCGTTTCGAACACTAGTAATCAATAGAGTGAGGATGCTATAATTGGTTTTAATCTCAATGCAATTGAGGACGAAATTGGTTTATTCTTTGAAATTAATTTTTAAAATGTGCCAAAATAAATACTCATGATAGTTTTTTAATATTATAAAACTAGTTTAGGAAAAATATAGTGGTAATTATTTGAGAGGTGAAGATATTTAATCTTATTTTTATTTATAAATTAATCGTTTAGTGTGCCGTTTTGTTTTCAATGGGAACTTTGGTACCTCTAAATGAAGATGATATTTACGGAATTAATACGATGTTTGATACTTTTACTCAATTTAGCCATTGCGAGTTCACTGTACGAATTAACTCATCTTTGGTTCCAGAAGATCTTCCAAAAAATATTAAAGTGATCGATGAAAATGAATTTATAAATCAACAAGAAATACTCGGTAATTTACCTTGTATCTCCCAAATTAGAATAAACTAGGAATACATTTTTCAAATACAGTTAAAAATTGAATAAACTTTAACGGAAGATTATAAAACCGAACCTCTATTGGTTAGTATTCTATGTGCACGACATTCCATTTTTTAAAAGAAGGTTGGCTTCAAATAGGACTCCGATTATGTTAGTCACTCATAAATGAACAGTTAAATTTTTTTGGGTCTTCCGCTTTCTTTCAACTTTTTTTTTATTTTCACCCGCTTTCCGTTTTCCGCTTTTTAAAATTCCAAATTATCCAGCCATGCTATAAATATACAATCTATTTTTGTTGTACTAAAATCCTTTAAATTAAAACAGCCCAACCGAACATGAAATTGTTTATCAATCACTGTGGTCAAAATTTCGTTAACGAGGTAAATAAAATAAAATTACATTCTCTATTAATGAATAATAAATTTGAAATTTTTACTATTGCAGATTAATTTCAACAGAAATTAAAAATTTTTTTATTTAATAATGATAACTTTTTTTCGTACTTTTTATGAGATATGGGTATAATAACATCTAATGTGGATTTTTTCTGGGAAATGAGATAAAGTCTATCCTTTAGCAAAATTTATTTATTAATTAGATAAAATTCAAAAATTCAAATTTTATTAATAAAATTCCATATTACATATATTTATAAAATATTTATAGGCAATGTATGCAGGAGTTCCTCAAATTTGTATTCCTTACCATACTGAACAAGAATACACCGCAGCTATTGTTCAAAATTTGGGAATTGGTATATGGATTAACCGTCCGAACCTTGCTAATCAAATCTTCAATGCATTATATCAAATATTGCCTTATCTGGATATGACCCCAGTTATTCTGAAAAGGCTTGGAAATTACGAGGAAATATAATTAATGATTTTAATCACTACAGCCAGACAAAAAAATTTTTAGATATTGTTGATCGTACAATTCGTCATTGAGAAGAGGTAAAAATTTTATTTTAAATTTAAAGAAACAAAATTATGGGAAAAGGATTCAATTATTTATGAATAGTTGGATAATTGTGGGCTGGTGCAATTGTAAATTATCGGGGTTTTATTTTTAGAATTTAGACGTAGTTTCGAAATTTGAGTTCGAAATTGAAGACATGCTTCATTTAAAATCATCCCTTGAAGCATTTAAAAATTTTTTAAACAATTTTCATTATACGGTTATTGTTAATGAAAAAATAAAGTTGCGCCAGCCCTGATTGTTTATGTTTAGCAATTTTGAGTATGGGTTTTTAAGAACTTTTCCTAACATTATTATATTATTTTCTTTAGTTTTTTAAAATTAATTTAACTTTTTATTATTTTTTACACAATTTTATACCATTTTTAATTATTCTTTTGCTATTACGGATGGGACTGGTCATCCAGGCCGGTCATCCAATACCCGGTTTTTATCGACCCACTACTAGAAAAAATTTTAATACCTGACCCAATCCTATTTTATTTTCGACGCGTCCCATCTATATTATTAACTTTATTTCTTTTATTTTGGATTAAACGTAACAATGGGGAAAATTTCATTGTGTTTTTTGAATTATTTTTAAAGTTTATGCAATGGGTTATGAAAAATTTTGACAAATTCCTCAACTTTAGATTGAGAAAAATAGGAACTGTTCGTAATTTGGTCGTAATTTCGCTATTTTATCACGAGATTAATAAAACATCATTTAAATTTCTTTGAAATTTTCCAAAATCTATTATGAAAGTTAAGTTATAATAGCTTATTTTCCATAATAAATCGATTGCGCTCAGCATTGATCAAACCAGAATTATTTTTAATTTAACTTTACTACAAATGATATGAGGGTTTATCAAATATCCAGCCCTTTTTAAACCCACGTTTCCAAAAATTTTCTAAACCCTACAATAAGCCTGACTTTTTCTTAACCAGTCCCATCACTGTTAATTACCTATATCTCTTTTGAATTAGATGTATCTAACGAGATACGAAAATTTGAAAGAGAAAGAAGTCTCATCAAGATATCTCACCCTCTCATCAAGATATCCAATAGACTAAAGTAAAAAACTAATTATTTTTTGTTGACATTAAAGTAATTATTATTGTGAAATTTAATTGCTTTTGTAAGTTATTTTTGTTTATGCATTAATCCATTTTTGTTTATGCATTAATCAAGTACTTTACGCGGGGGTTTAGATTCGAGTGCTTTGAGAGGTCAAAGTCCAAAAATACAACGTCCACAACAACCAGGTCCATTGGAAACACTCATACAACAACTTCAAGATTCAATTAACCAACGACATACTTCTCCTGTTACATTTCATCAATATTATCAGTTGTCTAATTACAAGCCAATTCCATTTCCACAAACACTTGATGAAATACAACGACAGCAACAAATACCAGCTGGAAATTACAGACCAATTCAATTTCCACAAACACTTGATGAAATACAACGACATCAACAAAGTCAATTTGGGAATGCGCATTTAATAATGCAACGGCCAATTAGTTACCAAATGCAACCGTTAAATACTGCTGAAAGTTTAAGCATTCGCCCACAGATAAATCGTAATCCAACAAATCCTTTAGCTTCTGGTAATTGTTATTTATAAACCTAATTGAAGTTGAGTATTTTGTTTAATAAAAAATAATTAATTTTAACCTCCAATACAGCCATAATAAATAGTACATTTCAATTACCTCTTAAACGTTTCAAGATTCAATTCACAACCCTGCCTTATCTGGAAGAAAGCGTCAGTTTCTAGGTAATTTTGACTCTGGACTAGAAATGACACCAGTAAATATGCAACAACTTCAACCACAACCACCTCGCCAAACTGTTCATGTACAATTTCAATCACAACAATTCCAGCCACACCAATTCCAAACAGGACCATCCCAACAACAACAATTCCAACCCGGACAATTCCAACCTCAACAATTCCAATCACAACAAACATCACATGATTTAAATAACATTCCAAGAAATGATGCAAATGAAAACAATTCAAATACTGGTGATGGAAATAATGGTAAGAGAGATAAATATTCTGTTGAAATATTAAGTTAATGATTAATATGTAGAGCGGGTTTTTTGAAATATAATCGCAAAATATGGTCATAAAATATTGAAATAATTGTCAAAACAGTGACGAAGTGTCAAAAAATTCTGGAATATTGAGATTAATTATTGTTCATTAAAGCAAAAAAGTTGAAATTTAGCAAAAATTAATCCCGTTTTTCACAATTACATATTAAGCACATTTCCAAATTTTCTGGAGTAATAGTGGTTCATTTATCGAATGATGAACCTAGCGAATGATAAAAAACCTAACGAATGATGAACCTAATCCCCTATCCGTTCAATCATTTCTCTTTTAAAAAAGGAAAAAAACTATTTTACCCATCTCAACTTTCCTTCGCTCTTATCTTTTGGTTCACAGTTTTATTTTTAACCTTTAAAAATATTTTTAAATAATTTTAGCATGGAAAAGATTTATGAAAAAAGACTAGATAGTTTTGAATGTTGAGAAATACTGATTATGTTCAAGAAAATGAAATTTCGATTTTTTAGATTATTTGCGATATGATTATTTTGATAAAGATTGCTATTTGTCTTACATACATATACATGATTGGATAAAGTATTAGCAATTGATAGATACAATCAGGGTACTATCCAATAGTCTCCACGCAATGCTTACTGCAAGAGCTTTTTTAATGCAAGATCGTTGCATTACATTTTAAGAATAAAATTAATACTTATTAAGAGTTTATAGGTTAGGTAGCTGGTTTCTGAGGGTGATAACGGGGGATTTGGCGGAATTAAGTTGGATATTGGTGGATCTGGAAGGAATAACGTTAATAAAGTGAAGTGAAGTCCTAGTAGATTTTTGAAAATTATTATTGATGTATTATTCTTAACAAAAATAAAAAGAAAACAATAGCTTTTAGCCCTATAAAGCGTATATTTGATCAAGTGCTGGTTAAATATAATAAAATTGTACATCTCTATAAGACAATGATATTTTATATAATATTATTTTTGCAAATATAATAAAAAAAATGCCCAAAATTTATCCAAATAATTTTATAAAAATATTTACAAATTTTATTTTTTATTTTATATTTACTAACAGTTACGGTCAAGAATGTGCTGATAAAAATATTCACGGGAGGCCGTCAGACTGTCCAATGTTAAAATATCTTTGTGAACGTCCACTTTATAAAGATATAATGTCTAAAGAATGCCCAAGGTAGATTTTTAAAAGTTGGTTTATCCCAAACTTATAAGGAGTTGACAATCTCTGGAATGTCATTTAACATTTTTATTTTTTTTAATTATAAAATCATCAATTGCGGATAGCGATAATGAATGGTAATGTATGATAATTGTAAGATATAGTAAGAGCGTATATAGTGGGCGGCGGTAGGTTGGTCAGCGGTAGGTTGGGCGACGGTAGATTGGCCTGCTCCACGATAGAGCTACCGGGATGCTGCTAGTGAGCGTTTAAGTGAGCATTTTAAATGCTAGCCAGCTTGATCTCTTCCTCACAATATGAAATTTTTAAACGACAAGTTTCTATGTAATTTTTTATAGAACATGTGATTCATGTGATTTATTCAAAATAAACTTGTGTTCTGACAATATTGGTCCAAACGGTATTTCTGAATGTCCAAAATTCAAAGAACGCTGTAATGACAAAATATGGGGAGATTTTATGAAAAAAGAATGTCGTTTAACTTGTGGAACATGCAAACAATTTATCTACTATTTAGAAAATGATTACGAAAACAAATCAAAAATGAAGATTAAAAAAGAGAAAATCGGAGCAGGTAAATATATCTCTTTTTTAAATAAGTGGTGCGCCATTACTGCTTCTAAAAAATTCTCTCTATTAGACCGACCCCTTCTAATAAACCGACTCTCCAGAGGAAGGTTGAAAAATAAACCGACTACCTTTATTAGACCAGCGCCTTCTATTAAACCAACTCCCTTAATTTCAACGTTAATGTTAGGTCTTCTATATTTTATAACCATACTGTTTTATAGGGTGGAATTTGAATTTTTCTTCTATTTCTTCAGAGGTTTTTCTTCTATTTCTTTAGAGGTCTTTGGCAATTTTGTAACCAGATCACACCTCATAGCTAAAAATTTTACTTCATATTTGTAGAAAATTTTGCTCCTCTCCCATCCTGTTTGAGGACTTCTTTTTACGAATTCTTTGATTAGGCAAAAATTCGAAATCAAAATTCTCTGTATTCGATTTGGCTTGATTTATCATTCATTCACTGTTATAAATGCACTTTATATTTCTTAATCTTTCCGATAAAAAAGCAGACGATAATATAAAACATTAAAAAAAATTTTTTGCCCTTTTCTGTCCAACAATCATTTATTTCCCTGTAAAATTTTTAAATAAATTTTTCATTTCCGTAATTTATTAAGTTTATCGATAAGAGATTTCCCAATGTTTCCTAAAACAATATTATTTTATTTAAACATTTTATTGTTGGCAAACATTGTTTTGTCAGTAATTCATTCAAAAACACAAAGCATTGCAGGCGGACCTATTCCATCCATTATGGGTAAACAATTAGCGATTTATTATTATTTATTTTATTTTTTTATATTTTTGATTTTCATTATGTACTAACGGAGAGGGTCGCCCTACGGGAGAGTAAATCATTACAAAAACAAAAATAAAAACAACTCGTACTTAGAACCGCACTCGTCAATGTCGAACTATTAAGTAACAGTCAATTACTGATACATCACAAAAGACATCACACCTCTTTCCGATTAACGTATCTTTTTCTTCAATCTAATCTATCTGTTACTGCAGATACAATTTAGTATCATACATTGAAAATACATCTGATATTAAAAACTTAAAGACCTCTCATCAATTAATATACAGATCTTAGCGATTCTGCACTTATTCTCTTTGATTCATCAACCGTCGGACTCTTTTGGTAATTGCTAATTCTTCTCTCAGAAAAAATATATCCAGTTAAAACTGAAACTATCTAGTACTATCAACTATTTAGTATATATGTATGTCAAAGTCTAGTAAAATCAACTATCAAACTATGTCAATTTTTCAACTATCAACTTTCAATTCTTAATTTTCAATTCTCAATTATCAACTATCAAATCCAAGAACTATCATCTATTAAGTATTAACTATGAACTATGAAATTATGTTTATTCGCCTTAAAAATTGCTTCTAAAAAATTCCCTCTCTAGAATAATTCCCCTCTAGATAACCTTGATTCAACCTCGTTCTCATCCGCTAAAATCAACTCCAACAGGATAGGATCGAAAAATTATTTTCATATTAAAAAATATAATTTGCGGTTAGCTTAATTTAATATTTTCAGCTGATAAAGAAAGTCCTTCTGACAGAAATTCTCCAGATAAATCAAGTATATAATTTTAATAAAAATAAATTGTGTTCATGCTTTGAAAAGATCATTTAATGTGAGAGGGAATAGAAACAATATGGGCCTGTGACAGAGTTTTTTTGGCTGTTTCGCCAACAAACCCGAATATGAAAAATTTTGAACATTTCTGCAAATAAACTTTATGCTTTTTAAGACCTCTTCTCACCCAGTGTTATAACCGCTAACAATAATGTACCATAGGTTCTAAAAACAGAGTAGGGTAGTTATCGCCATAAATTTCCTGTACCTTTATTTGCAGTCTTAATTTTCTCTAAAGAAGAAAATGAAGGATTCAGAAGAAAAGAAAAATAAGAGGAGATAATCGGATAGTAATTTATTTTTTAAAGTAGCTTATAATGGGTTGTCAGATAAATAATGAGCCCTTTGCGCATAAATTATACAATTTACTATAACTAAATAATGAAATGAAATCAAAAAACAATTTAATGTCCATTATTATCTACCACTTCTTGCCTATTGCTTGGCAGTTTTTGAATTCCCATTTGATAAAATTTAGTGGCAGATTTGGTATTAAGATAGTTGGCAACCCAATTTTAGAGTTGAGCATTGTTTTGGAACCTCACCTCCCGCAAATGAAGATTCATCTAACGAAATAACTGCTAGGCAGACAGCGCAATATCCATAGAATAAGGAGGATCAACTAAAAGTTCCCATCCGAGTGTCTCCGTGATGTGGGCTTGAGTTACGTTCGCGCGATGCAAGGGTGCAGTTTCCTTTTGAAAGACAACTTTATCATAACGAACCCTGCAAGCAGTGAAACCATCGATGGCAATCTGAACTATGTCCAATATTGTTTTTTAGAGTTCGCCCGGCAATCCATTGCCCTTAGGAGTTAATTCCCAGTGTAAAATCCCAAATTTTACCCAAATTTGGGGATTTTGGCTTCTAGGCCCATATCTTCATCACGGAATTTTTTGTAACATCGCTTAATTGATGCAAAAGATGCCCAACTTGTGCCCTTCAAGGCGGCATTTTCTTTTTTGGATTAAGTTGTACCTAGACCGCGTTTGAAGCAAAACAAAATAACAGTTCGAATTTCAGATTTTGAGGACATAATTTTAAAAAATTTTTAAAAAACTGCAAAAATAAAAATTTATTTTTTAAATGGTTCTGGCTTGTAGAAAAAAGCTGGAACTATCGACTCTAGTAAATTTAAAATAATTGTAACTAAAATTCGAATACTTTTACATAAAAAAAGACTAGTCAATATATATTTTTATTAATTGATACCGGTAATTAAAAATTTATTTAAATTTTAGATAACTTGTGGGGATGTACTTCGCTTAATTGTTCTTTAAATACATTACTAGATCCTTGTGATGATTTTTATGATTATGTTTGTTATGGATTTGTTAAAGATACTAGTAATCTACCCGAAGGGTATATAAGAAAAAGTCAATTTAATATTTTATGGGATAAAAGTGAAAAGGAAGTTATTAGTTAGTTTTTTTGCAGGACCTCGCTGTAGTAGATATATCCCCAATAATATGTACAACTTATGTCGTTGGTCACTATGGTTCTGTTGAAAAAATTCTTTTGAAAATTATTAAAAGATATTTAAGTAAAAGCAATTAATACGCTTTAACTAACACAATGGTTTTG